CATCCCTATCTAATCAGAGGTATTGTTTATTAAGTGGTTTGTTTTCCCTAGTCACCTACAGCCCTCACCCCCAATATGAAGAGCCTGGCTGGTTAACCCCACTGGAAGAAATGCCCCTCTATTTTTGGCTCCACAGCAGAGTCTGCAGACAAGGTACAGCAGGTGGGCTGGGGGGTGTTGGACAGAACAGACTCAGACCACCAAGGAGATTGCAGAAGGAAGGGTTTACTTTGTTCTGCATTCTGTGCAGCTTAAAGCTGGGCTGCAACAAGCATCATGACCTGGAATGAAAAACAGGCAAGCACACAACACTGCTGTTATCAAAACACAGATCTTTGCACTAATTTAAATAGTGGGTATATTAAACAAGCATACAACTTTAAACTGAGCTGCCTGCAGCAACTTTCCTGGGCTGTGAGAAACAGCTGTAACAGGACATGAAGGTAAATGCTGTAATGACACTGGTCTCTGTGCCTTTCCGTTGACATTTTTTTTTAAATAAAGCAAGAAGGCAAACACCTGGGTTCTATAAAGGGAGACATTTAACTATTTATTACCTGTTTATCTGAGCAGCACATGGTACCCCAAAAAAGCACAATTAGGTGCTTTTAATGCATGTTAATATTTGTATTGTTTGCAAAATACAAACCACAGCAGAAGTCTGAACTGGACGAGCTTGCTGAAAAGACCATTTGTAGATGTGGTTTCTGTCCAGGAACACTGGACACCAAGGCAGAAATTCTAAGATAAAGTAGGCACAGCTGCCCAGAGGCTTAGAAACAGAACAATAAAACGTAACTCATCAACATTTAAAAATCACTGTCATTCCTAGCTACCTAGCCATCAACGTGGCATTCCTAGGTTGCCATGAAGAACAAAGTCATGGGAAGGGACACTGATGTTGACCCTTAGCCTGTAGGTACATGGATAAACTGGCTAATGGGGTGGATTCTCCCAAAGCTGTCAGGACAGATAATCAGTGGAAATGAAGTTACTCCAGAATGGAGATATGCAGTGAAGAAGCACAGACCATGGAGTACCTAATTCTCCATGCATTTTTGGCAAGTTTGTGTTTTACTGAAGATTATTCAGAGCCACATGTTGGGCCCTGCCATCTGCTGAATTCAGATACGATGTCTGTAAAGCTGGTGTGAAAATACACAAAATGAAACTCTGACTTTGGGAGAGAAACTGCCAATGCCTTTGTAACTACAACTGTCTCTCACAGAAAATTACCTTTTTTATTTTGTGAAATATATACCCTCTCTATACAAAAGTAAGCCAAGTTTAAATTTCAGCACTCAGAGCTTGATTTTACCTCAGGTCCCTGTTAAAATGCCTCAATTTTGATTGGAGAAGGGCCTGAGAAACCTGGTCTAATAAGACCTGCTTTGAGTGGGGCTGGATTAAAATTATAGCATCTGTGCCAATGCATGAACATAGGAGTAACTTTCTTTGTCAAATATGGTAAGAAAAGATGGATCAGCCAATCAGGAAAACAAACAGTGGGAAACAGAAAGAAGATACTATTAATAGAGTCTTTATAGAAAGGTTATTTATTTTGTGGAAAGTTTGCTTGTAAATAAATTTGGTTTCAAAAACCCAGAAAACAAAAACCAACCAACCAAAAAAACACCAAAACCAAAAAAGAAAAAAAAAAAAAAAAACCAAAACCAAACAAATTTTAAAAATCCCAAAAAAAACACCCTACCAAACAATTCAGCCTGTATCCAGACAAATTGCTGCTGAAATACCCAATCTGGTGATTCACAGCTCCTCACCACAGGAAGGATGGCTTTTCTCTCTTCAAACGCAGTGCCTTCTTAGTAAAACATTGATACCTACTGGAGTTAGAGAATCCTCTTGGGCTTCTAATCTAGTGGAGACCTGTCAGTTTATGCCCTGTGCCTGCATCATGCTTATGTTGGATACACTTTGGAACTGAATGTAGTTTTTGTTAATAACTCTCCCTCAACTGTCTTGGACAATAAAGCCTTGGGTCCTGCTGTTGGCCTATCAAGAAAGACTCCTCTTGTGCAAGCAGCAGCTTCTGCATTGAAGAAGTCTCCAAACTATTGGGAATGAACCTATACCCAAGCAAATCCATACTGTTTATTTCAAAAATAGCCACTAAGCTTGTTTTAAAGTGAAAGAAAACAAGCTCTTAAGGCCACATTTCAGGGAGCTAATACCATGCTTTGAACTTCTGTAGTCTGAGATGGGGCAGCTCAGCTCCCCTCCCCTCACAGGAAAGAGAGGGAAAAGGCTTTTGGGTGTTTGAATACTGCATTTTTAGCCTGAACTGCAGAACAAAATCCAACAGGAATTAAGAATTCACAGTAGCCTCCCATACTCTGTTCTGAGGGTGATGTGCACTTCTCTGACTTCTCATTTCTAGTAAAACATGCAGCACAGAAAAGAGAATGAAGACTCAATCTGCTTCTGGGAGATTGGAAGGCAGCCGCAGGAGCCCTTTCCTGGGATGCCCCATTGGTAGGGTGGGCACTGTGCAAGTACCTGAGTAACTCAGAACAGCTTCATGAGGCTCAGCAAAGCAGCACCTCTGTTGTGAAGGTGAGTTGTGCACTTTAGGAAATTGTCCCAGAAGGACATAAAGAATTTCTTAACCTGCTTCTTGCACAAAGGACTGGTTTATGTGAAACTCTCACACTGGCAAGTTCAAGCCCTGGGCCCTCTGCACATTGTTTGGTCTTGCAGTCAAATTCTGTCATCTCTTATGCCATGAAAATTATCTTCTGGCTTAGAAGAGATGCCTCAAATTCGTGTTCTTAATTTCCAGCTATGAGGCTCAATGAAATTATTGACCTCTCCTGGACTTTTGAAACGTCAAATTAAGTACTACTGGACAAACAGGAAAATAACTTTGAGACAAATGGATAAATCATTTCCTCACAACAAAACATTTATTAACTGGATACAGCTTCTTTCTTGCTTGCTTGCTTGCTTGCTTGCTTGCTTGCTTTCCCCTCTTCCTTTTTCCATTGTCTGTTCCATTTCTTGCTGTTAGATTTTCTTTGCAAGAATGAATATGAATGGAAAGAACAGAACACTGTCCTGGATTTTTACAGTCTAAGGACATAAAAGAGAGAAGAGCAAGCACTGAAACATTCACAGCTGAAGATCCAGAAACCAGTTGTATGTGCAGGCACTTGGTGGAATAAATACACAGTGACACTCAAATCCTGATACCCAAACCCCACTGCAATGAAGCCAGAGGAGAGCTTTGCCCACCTGCCATGCCACTGTGTGACTACCTTGGCATCTCCAGGGCTTCCAGTGGCTGGGAACAAAATGTCGTTTTGCCTGTGCCATTTTCCTGGTGTCCTCTGCCAGGAGGTTTAAAGGCCAGGCCTTTGGAATGGCATGGAACCCACAAGCAGTTTTTACTCACTCTAATTTCCAAAGATTTTCTGAAGGTATCCAGCTGATTACTGGAGAGCAAAGCACTAGTGTCATGCTATTTCTCAGCTAACCTGCACTGTGCCCTTGTGCTGTGTAATAGATGCCCACCGTGCTGACAGAGGGAGGCTTGCCATTTACTTTGGTTTCATCTCTCAACAGCTTTAGGTATTTCTCACCTACAATCATACTTGTTAAAGCTTAAGGCATAAATCACCTGGGAGAGAGCTGGGACAAGAAAATTCAAAGCAGAGCCCGTTCATTACGAAAAAGAAAAAACAAAATAACCCCCACTGATTAAATTCAACAAAAAATAATTTCTTGGTTCATTCCAAAGCAAGGAACATGGTTTTTAAAATAGCTCAACCAAATGCCACCTTGAAATGAATTTGATTCAAAGCTAACTAAAGCCAAAGTAGGCTTTTCATCAGACATATCCAATTTTTGCCGGCTTTCTTTCAGTATGAGGTCTCTTGTCATCTGCAAGGTTTTCTATTTAACTGTGCTCACAGCCCTGGTGCAAAGTACCTCTCCCAGATGCCTAACAACCAGGAGACATGGTCACTGTCAGAGTGGCCCCTTGATGTGCTGTGCTATTGTTGCTTGCTCTTGTGAACAGCTGTCTTTGTTTCCCACAGGTATTTTGTTTTCTGCCAGGAGCAGTGAATGAACCACTCCAGCTGAGCTGTGAATTACAGCTCCAGAATGAACAAGGATCCTGCACAACAACAGCATCTGATCGAATCTTTCCTTTGCCTCTCTGCTGAGGGAAAGTCAAGGTAAATTAATGTTGAATGTCTAAGTTCACTCAATGGCTGACAAGACCTCTTTTAATGGGTCCAGTACAATGAGTGATGATCCCGACCAACACAGCAAACATTGTGTACAATGTGCGTTGTGTATCAATGAAAATGTGCCTTTGTGGCCCATCTGTGTGACACCAGTGGCTGTGATTCTGTTTTCCTATCCCTACTTTCAGAGGTGACCTTTAATGAAGCAGAGAGGTTTTGTTGTTAAGAGCCTCTGGTTGAAGCAAAAGAAGTGGGAATGGTGGAGGTGCAGATAGGAAGACAGTAGCTAAAGAGACTTCAAAACTTTGAAGAATCTAGGCAGAATTTGTGGGAAAGTTCCTGCAAACCACTTCTGCTTTTGAAGGGTCTGCTCAAAACCACAGCTTTGGAACAGAGACAGGTCAGAGATGAGACCTTAGTAAGGATGGGGAAATAAGGCCTTCCCCTCCTCATTAGCTTAAATTTTAAACATTCACTTTGTCCAACATTTCTGCTGCCCTTAGGTGAGAGGATTTTTGTAACCACTGTCCAGGAAGAGTAGGCAGGAAAGCCATGCTTGTTGGTGTGAGAGTTTTTCTTTGGGAATGGCTAAGGAGAGTGAGCTGGAATCCTCCACTTCCCTCCCAGGTGTTGCATGGTGATGCATTAGTTCCAAGTTCGTATTAAACAGGGTCTCTGTGAACAAAAGCTGATTTTTTAAGAAAACTTGTACTTTTAGAGAGAGTTATTTTTGCCCATGAGGAGACAAGCAGCACAGACTCCAAGTCTGCACACTGTCCATGTGCCCCATGGCGAGTGCGCTGGGTGCTGTTGTGTGGCAGGGCAGGAGCAGCTCACAGCAGTTTCGGGTCGCTGTTCATTCGGAGGCTGGAGTACATCCCCACATGCCGCACCAGGTTGGGCTCCACCACGAAGGCATTCTCGCCCTTGCCCCGCAGCAGTGAGTAGAGGGCGGTGTCCTTGGCAAAGCCCCGGCGGCAGCGCAGCCCCCGCAGGTATCCTGAGGCCCGGCGGGCAGAGGCAGCGGGGAAGAGCATGGCGGGCGTGCAGCACTCGCTGGCCGGCGCCACGTTGTAGAGCGCGGGGTGCAGGCGGCGCAGCTCCAGCCCGTAGTGCCGCCCCACCAGCTCCGACAGGGCCATGCTGTACAGGGCGAAGAACGCCACCAGGCACCAGCCAGGGCCCGCCCGCCCCGCGGCCCAGCAGTATGCGCAGCTCAGCACCGGCCCCAGGAACATGCCCAGGCCCAGCCACTCCAGGATCCTCATGGGCTCAGGGTTGATGTAGCGCTGGAGCCTCTCGGGATGGTACAGCTTGAAGTAGAGAGCATCTCTGAGGTAGGGCTTGGAGAACCGGGCTGAGAAGAGGTGCTGCAAGACAGAAAATATCTCCTCCTCTGGCACAGCATCATCTTCCACAAGAAGGATGTACTCTGGGCTGTACATCAACAGTGACTGCTCCAGGCAGAAGACATAGTCCTGCTTCTCCTTCTCGAACTGGTTCAGGCTGGGGTCAGGATTCTCTCCAGTTCTGTCACGACTGACCGTAGGAAAGAGGCTGCTCAGCAGCCTGACATCCTGATGGCTGCTGGGGTCTGACTCCACATTACAGAGGAGCATGCGGTGGCTCTGGCAACGTGCCCCACATTTCTGGAGGAGGCGGTGGAAGTGGGAGGCCACTTGCAAGACGTAGTGGAAATCATTCTGCCTCTGCACAGTGATAATGGTGATCAGCAGCAAGGGCTGGAAGGCGTCACTGCTGGAGGCCTCAGAGGCGTTTGGCATCTGCATCTTCTCAAAGTAATGGAGAGCATCCTGGCCCTCCTGCTGGTTCTGCTCCAGGAACTCCCGGCTCATGGGGTTCAGGTGCCAGCGCCGCAGGTAGAAGTAAGAGTGCAGGAGCCGGTGGCAGATCAAAGGTGCCAGCACACCAAAAGTCACCACAGTCAGGGTGAGGAGATGGATGAAAGGGCTGGACCAACGGCACCACTTCCCACAGAGCTGCCAGGCTCGGTGGAACATAACTGCTGCAGAAAGAGGGCACTCCTGCACTGCTCATGCCCTCAATCCTTCACTTTCAATGCATCCTTCTCCCTGGACTGCAGGATACCACTGGGTCCACTGCTGCCAAACCTGCACAGGTTGTCCAAGCCCAGAAAGGAAGAAAAAAGGATGGTTAGTGAATAGGAACTGACAGAGAAAACAGAAAACAGGGGACTAGTCTCTGAGTAAGCTAAAATACAAGGCCCTGTGTAATCCCTTATGGTGGAGGCATCACAGCATAGTCCTGGGACATTGAGGACAGATGAGCCAAACTTAATTTCCAGCAAAGAACCCCTAAGGCTTTTTTAGCACATAGGAACTCTGATCTAACCAAGCTCAAAAGGACTTTGTGTGTTTGTTACTGTGCTTCAAACATGTAACAACAGGCAGGGTGGATGCAGGATGTGTGGAAATCCCCTTCTGTTAAAGGTTAGGTACCCCTTTCTGGTGACAGTGACATAATAATGTTTAGATCACAGCCACGAAGCAAAGCCAGAATTCTTGTATCTTAGTCTAGCATATATTGGAGAGAAAAACTTTTACCACTTTGGAGACATAGATGCTTCCCTCCTGCTGCTCACACACTTCCAAATGTGTTTTTTTTCACTCTCCTCCCTGAAATGTGAAGCCATATAACAAAGACACCAATTTACTTCACTAAGGGCCTGTGTATGCTAAGGGTAATGTGTGTGCCTGTTTCTCTCAGATGTCTCCTCCTAACTAGATCCTGTGAGATACATGGGCACAGCAACATGAACATGTTGTAATTGAGCCATTGACTCCTTATCTAAAAGTACACAATTTAGAAGTATATGCCTTCAATTTTAAACTGAAGTAGTCACATAAATATGTAATATTTTTTGTATACACATTCACTTTAAGCAAATATCCACCTTCACCAAAGTTAGATTTTTCCATATCTGCTTCTCTGGCTGCCTTGAAGACCTCACAGCCTGGCTGACAAAAGCTTATCCAAAATCATGGCAGTTAGGTTGTTCAGATGAATTCTCTTTTGTCAGTAATCTCACTTTTAATCTGTTGTCTCATTCTCCCTTTAAGTTCCTATTCCCTCTCCCTAAGAACTGAGGTACTCATGTTCCCCTCACTGAGATGACTGAACGTGTACTGAGTGTTCAGTGCAGAGTTTCTCCAATTTTTACCCTTTTGCCTTCAGCAAGTTCTGATCATCAAATGGTAGTTCAATCAAATGTTATTCTTTGTCCTTTTCTACACTGTCATTTGAAGCAGCCTAAGCAAAGTTGGGTAGATGGAAAAAATCATGGCTTTTCTCCTCTGTCTCAGAAAAATGGATCTTGTATAAGAAGAGACTTGGAGGACATGGAGCAAGGTCTGGCTTTGGGGATACTTCAGAATTGCCTTCTTTACAGAGGTCACAGATTTGCTGGCTTTTACCATTAGGAGAACCTTTTCCTCTTGCCATATGGGAATGTGACAACCATCTATGAAAGGCCTTTTAACAAGATTAATGCAAAATATACAAGAGTTATTCCAAATATTTGTTAGTGAACAGGCAGTTCATGCTGTGAGATCTCAAACCATCCTTACATAGATTGTGGCATCTTTGTGGCACAAACAATCACAAGTGTTTGTGCACTCTTAGGGCTCAAGACAAGATTTAGAGTAATTAAATTCGAGAACAAATTTACATGCTGATGCATGAGAATTTGCAGCTTCTTTCCATATAGCTTTCTTTTCCTGTCTTGTTACACAATCCTGTTGCAAAAATGCTGCATTGAATTGCATCAGTGAACCTTGTAAAGGCCTTAAAGGTGATGGCTGCACTTCAGCTGCTAGATCCAAGTGCTGAGGATTCAGGATGTGAAGACCTGAAATCCATCAGATGCAAAGTTCTGGCATTTAAATGCATTTATTCATCCAGAATCCTGGGCCTTCCAGCTAACCTGTCACAAGCATTAAGAGAACACAAACATGCAGAATCATATTCTACAGCTCATGCTGTCGAGCCTTCTCTTGATACAAGCATCACTGTCTCTGAGCAAGCCTCCAAACTTGAAAGTGAGGGCCACAGGGGGAAAGGAAGATAGTAAGTAGTTTAGTTCTCAGGAAATAAAGCTTAATTTCCATCTTCCAGCTATGCTGAAACTCTGAGCTACAAAACCTATGAGCTGGCAATGAGATCTTGGGATATATATTGAAGTACTAGTAATAATTATTTGAGCGTTTCTTCATTAATAATTCTTGGAACAACCTGATTAAGTGAGTGGAATCTGGCAGGGAGTTTGAAACTAGCTGTTCTGTAAGGTCCCTTCAACCCAAACCATCCTATGATTCTATGATGATAACATTCACCCAAGGAAGACCTCCTTCCCTCACACCATCTTCTACTGAAGAGGGAAAAATGGTTGTGCTGTCCTCCCTAGTGGCCAGTAGAGCTGGGGGGGCTGCAGCCTCATGAGATGAATCAAACAAGTTCTCACTTGACATCCTGCTCTTCTGCAACCCTTGAACTTGTTGTTCATGTCCCAGGTCCCTGCAGCTGGACTCACACTGAGTCCGGAGCCCGACAGTGCTGGCAAAGTGGTGTGGGGACTCCACCTGCTGGTGTCCCAGCTCCCGGCTCAAGGCAGGGTCGGTGAGGTGGCGCAGGTGAGCACCACCCTCTGTGGAGGTACCTCCTTTTCCAGCTTCCCCTGGAAAAGCACGCAGGACTGGAAGCCACCCATGCAGCCATCCAATCACTGTTGTAATTCCAAGCATTATGACTTAACTCTGGCTTCAGTTCACCAGTAACAGAATTCGAGATCTTAGAGCTCTTATTCTGCTCTGCAACTCAGGGAGCCTCAAGAAAACAGTAATCACACACAGACATGACTGCAACTCTTCACATCTTCCTCTGCTGCCTGAGCTGTTCAAACTCACATGGACAGACACACTGTCTGTTTGTCACTCTGTCTGGTAAGGAAAAGTCTGTTTTCACTGGGCAGTGAAATAACCACAGAGGCTAAAAATGGTCAGGAGTGTACTAAAGCAGGTCAAATACTGCAGTTAATGTGAAAAACAAACTGAAAAATCAGAAGAGAGGGAAGAGACTGACCTCCTTCACACCTTCTTCTGTAACCTGGGAACCTGAGAGCTCAAAATATGGATTAATAAATTCTTACTTCTGCAGAGGTGAAGCTTGCTCATATCTGTAGGATTTGAATCCAGAGTTTCTGCTCAGGCTGTTTTCCAGCCATTAGGATGGTTCTGACTTCAGAGGAGACACTCCTTTCAGGAGCTCTTTGTACTGTCATTTTCAATTTTTTTCCCTTTCTAGGGGGAAAAACATCTTGTTTATTTTTCATGCAAGCATGCAAGTGGCATTTCAGACAGAAAAAAAAAAAAAAAGTTGTCTGAGGAGAAAAGGAAGAATCAGGTTTGGATTTTATAGTGCCTTAAAAACCCCCACTTTATTAAACCTGAATAATAACTACTTTGCAACCATATAAATACTTGCAATGGAGGCCACATTTACACATGTCCTGTGTAGAACTGAGCCATTGCTTAAACACTACTAGAACCTGTGGTGATATAAAGATGTAATTTGGCTTGTTTCTTTTCTTGGATTCTCATGATGAAAATTCCTTCCAGAAACACCTAATTCCAAATCTATATCTTCGTTAGTCCCCTAATTACTTGGCTGAATTAAACTGTTCAGGAAAACTCACCTCTTTGCACACCAAGGAGAGTAGAAAAATAATAATGTATTCTTTGGGGTGCAAAGCACTATCTGCTGTGCTTGTGCTTTAAAAGAGAAAGCTGATTTTCTGTCTGCTCCAAACTCCTCTCCACAGAGAGGTCTTCCTGGAAGAAAGTTTCCTATATGTTTCAAAGCTGCAAATTTTTAGGTTCCTAGATAGAGAAACCATCTGCCTTCTCCTTCCTGCACCATGAGACAGAGACAACTACTCCTGTACAATTACATTATTAAATTACTCTTTTTGGCCTATCTACACTTCTTCTCAGTGTCAGTGGGAAAAGCCATTTCTTTCCTAACATAAAAACAGCTGGATGAAGTCATTTGGTCAAAGCTATAGAGTCATCTCTCTAAAAAGGGATGAAAGAGGGAAACAAAGGCAGGCTCTTGGAAAATGTCATGGAAATGTCATGGGCTGTCACAGCCCCAACTAAGCCATAGCAGTGGTGGGAGTAATGGTGCTCACACAAGTGGTACTTTACACTTTTGATTCTATAGCAGCACCCAAGCTGAAACCTTTGAGTGAAAAGCTTTTCTACACCCCAGCCTAACACCATGCAGAAGAGCTGCCAGCTCAGGACCAGCTCCCCTGCTGATGAACCCTCTCTGGCAGAGACAAGGCCTTTGTGGTGCTGTGACAAACATCCTGCTTGAATCTGAGGAAGTCAATGAAAGCTTCCCAAGGAGCCATAGATATCTCCTGTAACATATGGGCATGCTGACAGGGACCGTACAGATATCCTCAAATTCCAAAACCTGAGGTCCCTGCCATGAGCTGATCCCTATTACTGGGCCAGATGGCTAGCTTTTCTCATCTGCAATTCCTCTTGTTTTTCTGACAGCTTTTTGTAGGTCAGGTGCCAGATAATATTCCTGCAATGTGTCAGGCCTCCCTTGACAACACCAGTGTCCAGCAGAAGCTAAGCATTCACAGATCTGATTGCTGTACTTCCATGCCAAACTGGGAGCTGGGCCCCCTAGAAAATACAAGCATCCCAGCAAGAGCTGCTAAAAAACATTCAGAGGAACCTTAATGGTAAGAGACCAGTAGTTGTTATTTGATTGCATTTTACTGGCAGGTACCAAATATATCTCTCATCTCCTCAAGCACTGCTGAAAGCAATTGTTCTTTTGTTGTTCGTAGATGATGAGTGGCATCTGTCATCTTATCATCAGATAAGCCAGGCAGAGATCAGGGTTGCTGCACTTAAACTCTCAGCTCCCTTAGAACTTTTGTTTCTTATGATCTGTGTACTAAAGATGTAACACTGTCACAGTTAACAGA